AATAATAAAATAAGGGAGCTCTGGTGGCGTAGTGCCTAAGGCACTTGACTGCTAACCAGAAGTCTGGCAGTTCAAACCCACCAGCCACTCCTCACGAGGAAGATGGTTCAAGCCCACCAGCTACTCCTCGGAAGGAAGATGGGGCAATCTACTTCCGTAGTGATACTGCCTCTGAAACCCAAGGAGGGGTTGCTATGAGTTGGATGGCAACGAGTAGTTTTGTAAAAAGGGTATTTCTTCATTTAAACATGCAGAGTGAATGAAAAGCTAGCTGTATTGGCATTTTAGATTCAGGAAATTTAGGCTGTGGTGACATATTAATACTGGGCTCAGAAAACCTTCTTAGGGATTTGTGTCCTTTTTTAAGAAAGAAATTTAGAAAAATGGAATTCTGGTATTTAAAGATGACTTAATATTGGCTTTTGTGTGTTTGTTTTAAAATAGCTGTCACAGGAAGTCTTTTCAGAATAAACTTAGGCCTTCGTGGCCTGGTGGCTGGTGGTGTAATTGGGGCCTTGCTGGGGTAAGTATTAACATATTTTGATTCTAAATTGATGTGACTTTCACCAGTGCCTTGCCTATTAAAAGTCTCTTCCATTTCTAAAGAACGAATTTAATCCTTCAAGCCTGTAAAAAAGTCTTAAGGCTTGGATTGGCAGTAGCTTTGACTGTCATTCTAATTCTACCCCAATTGTTTATTTCACTTTTAGGTTGCACTGGGTAAAAACTATTTAAATATCATTAATACTTGAAACTGTTTGTAGCATGAACAACGGTATTTGTAAGAAAGCAGGGAAAGAAATGAATTAACAAGCATGTTCTATAACATTTTTTAAAAATTAGGTTTTGTTTATTTAACTAGCTTATTCAATTTTTTGTTTTTATATATTTTTCCCCAACTTCGTACTTCGAAAAATTTCAAACTTACCGAAAAGTTGAGTGAATTTGTGCAATGAACACTATATGCCCTTCACCTAGATTGACCAGTTGTTAACATATTGTCATATTTGTTTTAGAGCTCTCTGTACATGTGTGTGACATGTGTATATTTCTTTCTTTTTTTTTCTTTTGGCTGAACCATTTGAGACTTCTTAACACTTTACTCCTAAATACATCAGCATGTATTTCCCAGGATGAATGAAGAACATTCTCCAATGAAATCACGCAATTGTGTGATAAATAGTGGTGATGCAATACAGCATCTAATACAGTTCCCCTGCCTTTTTTTTTCTCCCCAGAATGTTCCTCAATTTTGTCTGATTGTCCCTTCATCATTAGTTTTAGGCTAAATGTTTTTGGCAAGGATACAACATAGGTGAAGTTTTAGGTCCTTTTCAGTAAATCACGTTAAGAGACATATTATGTCACCCATTACCAGTGATGTTAAGTTTGATTAATTGTGTATTTGTTTCTGTTGCTGTGTAACAAATTACCACAGATTTAGCAGCCTAAAGCAGCATCATTTATTATTTCATAGTTCTCTGTAGCTTAGAAGTGTAGGTAGATGCAGATGGGTTCTCTGCTTGTGGCTTCACAAGACCAGAATAAAGGTGTTGGCTTGGCTGAGTTCTTTAGATCTAGAGGATTTGGGGAAGATTCTGCTTCCAGGTTTATTTAGATTGTTGACAGAATCCAGTTTCTTGTGACTGTAGATCTGATCTCAGTTTCCTTACGGGTTGTCAGCTGGGGACCACTCTTTGTTCCTAGAGGCCACTTGCATTTCTTCTTGTCCCCTTCCATCTTCAAATGAACAAAAGCACATTGAATCTTTATACTTTAGATTCCTGTGAGTTCTGCTCTGCCACCAGCTACAGAAAAGTCTGCTTTTAAAAGGCTCACACAGATAATCTTCTCTTTGATTAACTCAAATTCAACTGATTAATAGCTTTAATTACATCTGCAGTATCCTTTTTGCATATAACATAACATAATCAGGGCATAGTATCCCATCATTACCATTTTCATTGTTAGAGGACTAGGGCAGGAAATTTTGGGGGCCATTTTAGAATAATGCCTATTATGCTTGATTAAGATAATGTCTGCTCAATATCTGCATTACAAAGATATCTTTTCCCCATTTTAATTAACAACTAATCTCTGGGATGTTCTCGTTGTTATGTGCTGTTGAGTCGGACCTGCCTCATAGCGACCCCTCCTTGTGTTTCCAAAGTGGTATCACTACAGAAGTAGATTGCCCAACCTTCTTTCCGAGGAGTGGCTGGTGGGTTTGAACCGCCAGCATTCTGGTTAGCAGTCAAGTTCCTTAGGCACAATGCTACCAGAGCTCCTAATTTGTGGGATAAGTCTGTGCAAATATCCTGCTCTCCAGCCATCTTTCACCTGGTAGTTTTAGCATTCACTGACCATCCATGCTAGAATCAGAGAGCTTTCCTTTCTCCTCCACCTACCCACCTCCCTTTTCTGAGGTGGGGGGACACCTCTAGACTTAGAGAATCTTCTTATTTTTAAATTCAGCACATCATATCCACATTATTTTTGGGTCGTATTAATATACCAGCTTGATTTGAAGGGGAAAGTTGAAGTTAGCAGCAAAAATAATTTTTAAAATTAGGCTACTTCAGTTGTAGCAGAGAGAATTTAAATTACATCAAATTCAAAAGTTCCTTCTCTTTGACAAGGCAAGGACCAAATCCTCTGCATCATAGTAATAATTGTAATTTAAGTGAGTTTCTCAATGAGTGACTGTTGGTGTTTTGAGTAAGATGGTTGTACCAAACTCTGGAATTGTAGGATGTTTTGGTGGCCCCATCCCCCAAAGTTAATAGCATCCCCTCCCCCAAAATAAAAAAATATCATCTCCATTCTACGTTTCCAGCTCCCTAGAGGAGCTGATACCATTCTTAACCATTAATCTCACTTCTGAGAAACCTGCAGTATTAGAGCTACTTACTAGAACTTGTCATAAGTATACATATTTCCCTCCTTGTCCATAGTTATTTATCATCCATTATTAACAATAACAACAAAAAACAGAGCCAATGTATAGATATGTTGTTGTTTATACCAATTAACTTTAGGGGCTTACAGTGATTGTTGTTTAGACCAGGAAAGGAAATTCCCTCAGTATTTTTTTTTCTTTATTTGATGCTTTAATTGCCAAATGTCCTTGTAGCCATTTATGAACAGGTAGCTCAGAGGAGTTGCTCATGCCTTAGCAGAGATGCTCACACATTGCTGGTCTAATGGCTTTTTATCCTTAGCTTTCCCTCTGCTTTCCCCTTAGCACTCCTATAGGAAGCCTCTTGATAACACTTCAGAAGTACCGTGGAGAGACTGTTCAGGAGAGAAAAGAGAAGGATCGAAAGGCACTCCATGAGCTCAAACTGGAAGAATGGTAAGGAGCATAGTAAGACTAGAGAATCTGACTTTTTTAGCTTCGTATGGTGGTGATCTATTAACCACAACTACTTTAAACTGCCATTCATTCAAAGAAGTTTATTTTTATCAAGTCTTGAATTTATACCCTAAGTGGTTTTGAGAGATGCTGGTCTGTAATTTATGTATTATATATATATTCTTGAAAACTGGACATGTGTTTTATTTGTCCTTTGTTGCCTTTTTTTTTTTGCCTTTGGTGTGAGATTTTATGATTATCTGTCTAATAGTTAGGCTGCATCTATTGTTTGCTGTAGCTGTAGCTATCAGAGTCAGAGGGTAAAATTTCCTCTGGTGTTCTTGTTTTTTGTCTCTCCTGTTGTCTTTGGATTTCCCTAGGGATGACTTTTTAAATAAAGTCTGAATCTCACAGTTCTCTCAGTTATAATCCCCTATTAGTATACAGAGGAGCTCTGGTAGCGTAGTGCCTAAGGCACTTGACTGCTAACCAGGAGGCTGGCAGTTCAAACCCACCAGCCACTCCTCGGAAGGAAGGTTGGGCAGTGATAACTGCCTCGGAAACCCAAGGAGGGGTCGGGCCGACTCAATGGCAAATAACAAACAACAACAGCATTAGTATACAGGAGCCCTGTTGATGTGGCAATAAGGTGTGGGGAGTTGGAAAACTATTCTATGACCTTCACAGTGCTTTTGTTTTTTTAAGTCACTGCTTAGATGAGACAGAAATCCTAAAGAGAACAGGAGTTGGGTATTTCCCTTCCCTTACATTACTGAGTAGAGGGGGCTAAGCTGGGTATTTCCCTTCTCCTATGTCAGTTTGGCTGAGGTAAAACCCAGGTTGATCAGATTCTGGTAAAAAAGCTATTCTTAAGCATAACAGAGTGCTTTGGGCATTTCAAAATGATTACTTTTCTCCTTCTTTGCCAAAGTAAGAGGGAATTTTTCTCAAATCTTGAAATCCCACTGGGACTCCAGCAGATGACATCTGCAGCTCCTGCCTTGGTAATTATATAGATGAGCACTCATTTTTTCCAGTGTTTTTATCTGAAACCTCCATTTCATATGCTAAACATACAAATACTCTCTCTTAAGAAATGCATGAATATCTGTGCAAGTCTTCTGTCCAAGGACCTAAGTTCTATAGGAGAAAGCATTGATTTTGAAGTGAATGAAACCTTAAAAACTGTCTTTAAATCCCAGCTGCACTGTTACTTTAGTTCTCTGACCTTAGATATTTTTCATAACTTCAAGCTTTCCATTTTCTTAGCCACTGGAAGGGCAGGATTGTATTACAGTATTTAATACTGTACAAAATATGTACAGTATTAAATAATAGTAATAGTAAATAATGTTAAATAGTACAAAATAATACTGAACAAAATATGCTTGTTTTGTTCTTTCCTCTTCCTGGTAAGAGGGTAGGTGGGATATACACATATCTAGATTTTAGGTTGAAGCACTTTGAATTCTTAATGCTAGGATAAAGTCTGGCATTATGGAGAATTAAAAGTACAAAGGCATTAGTGTATTTTGAAATAGTGTAGTAGTCCCTAAGGCATTTGACTGCTAACCAGAAGGCTGGCGGATCAAACCCACGAGCCACTCCTTGGAAGGCAGGTTGACAATCTACTTCCATAGTGATACTGCCTCAGAAACCCAAGGAGGGGTCGCCATGAGTCGGATACAACTCAACAGCAGTGGATTTGGTTTGGTTAATTCTCTAGACTTCTTTTTTTAAGAGGAAGTTTTGAGAAAGGGTTCAGAGTAGTAAGGAAAATATACTGGATGTTTGAGTATGATATAGGAAGTTAAGGAAGAATTAACATTGGAAAAATAAGAACAAATAATAAGTATATTTCAATTAAAAAGAAAGAAAGCTTGAAAAACTAAAAAAGTTGATCAGTGATTTAGAAATGGAAAACCTTGAGAATCAGTAGGAACAATAACTTGAATTATAGTTGTGAACAAATGCTTTGACAGAAGGAAATAGTGTCAAGGATGTGCTTTGTGTGTGTAATATTATTGAGGTTAGTTAATAAGTAAATGTCTACTTAAAAATAGCTAGAGAAATTAAACAAAATGAAAGTCTGAAAAATTGCCTTAATGAGCACAAAATACAGAGAACTGGCTGTGGAGATATGAAATAAGAAATAGTAAAATCTGGTTGTGAAGAGTTGAGAACAAAGTTATAGATGATCCTGATAATCAGAGTGGCTGGTGGGTTTGAACCGCCAACCTGGTTAGCAGTCAAATGCCTTAGGCATTATGCCACCAGAGTTCCTTCACAAATATTAATAAAAACGAAACTAAACTCATTGCCATTTAGTCAGAACAAAAACTGATGTATTACTTGGAAATTATATTTTTACTCTTTTATATATCTATAGTACTGTCCTGTTTTTTTCCTACTTGGGTTACCATTTTTATAACCTTTGTCCAGTTCCTGTAAGATCTGGCAATAGAAAGTTTAATATAGAGGCAATGTACCTACATTCCTAGGCTCTGAGGGCAAGAGAAAAGCAGGCAATGAATTTCATACCTCAGTGCAGAGTGCTTCAGTTCCATCACATTACCCCAGGTCCTAGAGTCTAACTCTAAGACTCAGCATCCTGTAGTATCTCAGAGTCAAAGCTGGAACAGGTTAAACCAAAACCAATACCACTGCCATCGAGTGGATTCTAACTCATAGCGACCCTCACTGGGTTTCCTAGGTGGTAAATCTTTGCAGAAGTAGATTGCCTAGTCTTGCTTCCACAGAGTGGCTAGGAGAGAGAAGAAAGTCATGCATTTGAAGTGTTCTTGTTGTTGTTGTTATTTGCCGTCGAGTGGGCCCGACTCATAGCGACCCCTCCTTGGGTTTCCGAGGCAGTATCACTACGAAAGTAGGATTGCCCAACCTTCCTTCCGAGGAGTGGCAGGTAGCAGTATTTGCTCATGAGTTGTCACACTGAAGCAGGGAGAGTAAAAATACTATCATTTTTCTTTCTTTTTTAAAATCTCTGTAAGAAGTAAAGACATGGAGCAGTACTTGATATATCTATCTATTCATTCTTTGGTTACAGGAAAGCCAGACTACAAATTACTGAGTTCCTCCCTGAAGAGATTGAAAGTAGTTTACAGAAAAATCAATCTGAGGATGATGCTAAGAAAATAGAAGCATTGCTAAACCTTCCTAGAAACGCTTCATCAATAAATAAACAAAGCAAGGACTGACATTTCTCTGGACTTGAAAGTCATTGGAGAGTTGAAGGGAAGTGTGCTGTCATGACTATGAAGGTCAGCCTGCTGAGCCATGACCCTAGCTAGTAAGCCCTGAAATCTGTAGTGGTAGTCATTTATATTATTATTATTATTTTTTAAACTAATAAACCAATAACTGGGTTATGGTATCCTAACTTCACTTACTCTTAAATATAAGTACAGATTTATATCTATTCAGTAGAGATAGAAATATATACAGGCATATACCACTTAACTGCCATGATACATTCTGTCACATAGGATGTTATGTGATTTTGGATGTTGTGTAAACAGCTGTGTCCCTGGGACATGGGGCTCCCAAGTGCACTGGACTGGAGACTGCTCTGCAGCATGGCCTGGGCAGCTCTTGCTGCAGATGCCTTATGTGAGCACTCACTGGATCTTGCCAGATAGGCAGCCACCTGGCAGCTCCTATTGCAGATGCCTAAGGTGAGCACTTGGCCAGGTCCTGCTGGACGGGCAGCCTGGGCAGCTCCTGCTACAGATGCTTCAGGTCACTGCCTTCTCTGCTAAGCCATCTGTGGGAACGGCCAGCTCACTTGTGAGAATCTGCCTGGGGAGGGGTTGGTATGGGCCAAGGGGGCCAAGGGGCCAAGAGGCCTGAGCCAGGCTTGGTGCTTATACCTTTCCATTGGTGTTCTAAGAAACCACACTGGTAAAAACACAGGGACTAGACCCACTGAGTTGCTGAAGCCAGGGGGGATCAGGATTGGGAGTTTGGGCCACATTGTCACAGACTAGGTGGCTTCTGGGTCATGCATTGCAGATGGGCAGTAGTGGAACTTTGTCCTCAAGACAAGGGTCTGGCATCCTGGCACTCAGATACCTGGGTGCCCTGGGCCACAGACATATATGTCGTCAGACATATGTGTCAGAGGTTCAATGATATATTTAAATTTAAGACTGGTAACCCATCCACTCTCATCAAGTCGATTCTAACTCATAGCAATCCTACAGGATAGCGTAGAACTGCCCCATAGGGTTTCCAAGGCTGTAAATCTCTATGGAAGCAGACTATCTCATTGTCTTCCTGTGGAGTGGCTGATGGGTTCAAACTGCTGACCTTTTGATTAGCAGCTGAATACTTTAACCACTACACCACCAGAGCTCCTTAAGGCTAAGTAAAGTGAAGGTAATATATATATATTAGTATATGCTTTTTTTCATTAGATTCTGCAAAAGTAAATAAAATATTTCCCAAAATATCAATGTTGAATTCTGCATGTGTTTATTCATGCAGCCCTTTAAATGGTATTCTGGGAGTCATTAGGAGGAGAGGAAAGGAGCCAGTAAGTCAAATGGGTTGTGAAGCCCTTTTGCCTTTCAGTCCTGCAAGTAGCATGGGCCTAAATGTGTAATAGTGTTTGGTTTGTGTTTAATAGAAATTGAAGGTGATTCCTATGTCATTTCAAATAAAATACAAATTTAACAAAAAGGAAGTAGATAAATATTATTAAAGAAACAGCATGACTTTGTTTCTTCTTAATTTATTATTATTTTTGCTGATCAACTATCTACTCTGTAGTATGTTACTTAGAACAGAGTTGTATTTCCTACACTTCAAGAGCTTGCTGGCTATGATAGTTAAGGTTGTGTGTCAGTTTGGCTGGGCCATGATTCTGAGTGGTTTAAGCAAGCATTTGTGGTGTGGTCATTCCCATGATGAGGTCTGATGTAGTCACCTCCCTGGTGGGATGTGCTTTCAGTTGAAAGAGAGTTTCCTCAGGAGTGTGGCCTGCTTCCAATATATATATATGAACATCCTGGGAAAATTCTAGGACTTTTGGTTGGATCTGGATCCTGCATATAACTTATCATCATCTGGTTTTGGAGCTGACCCAGTGGCTTGCCATATTTCCTGCTGATCTTGGAGTTGTTACCTTTGCAGCCTGTAATCCTGTAATCCAACAACCTGCCATTTTACCTGCCAATCTTGGATTCATCATCCACTGAGGTTAGCAGACTGATATACTGCCTGCAAATCTTGGGTTTGTTAGCCCCTGCAGCTACGTGAGTCAGGAAAGGCCTCCAGATTGATGTTTTGACTCATGAATGTGGGCCTTGCCAGACTCTACAACTGTGGGAGCCATTTTCCTGAGATAAATTTTTCTCTTTCTCTCTATACACATACAGGCTTTACTGGATTTGCTTTTCTAGAGAACCTAGCCCAAGACATTTGGTACTGGGAGAAGTTCTAGAGAAATAAAATCATAAGGATGAGTTTCATAAATTGGTTCTCAAGTTTGATTAGTTGTAAAGGCACTGATGACTCTGTCTCCATTAGTAAAGAGGGCTCTGCTAATCCATGGCATGAGGTAACAATATTAATACACAAAGTAGCACCACCAATAAATCAAGTATTGGTGGAAGTGAGGCTCTGGGTGATTGGATGTTTGATACTTTTCTGCAGTTTTGTCAGTATCAGGAGTGTAAGGAAGCTGGTTGGTTGGTCCCGCTTACACTAGACAAAGTGGTGAAAGAGTGAGATGAGCTCAGGGCTGCTGAGTCACAGCTCAATCACCACATACAAGACTCAATGTTTCCAATTTTACCCTGAAAGAAAGCCTTATTTCTTGTAGTAACAGAACTGATATTGCCAAAAACCAAACCCAGAGTTTTATCATAAGGGTAGCTTATTACAACACCAATTGAATTGCTAACCCAGAATGGTGTCTGAAGTTAAAATGAGGGCATTGACTGGCAAGAAATAGGATCCTGAAACCTAGGATGGATACATATGGGTACACAAGAAGCTGGGGACATGGAACCCCTAAATGTACAAACAGAAACCTGGAAAATATATGTGGGGATGGCTGTTAAGGGTGTGAGATAATGGTGCAAGGAACTTAATGTTGGATCAATCTGAGTTTATTGATTTGGGCCCACTAAGCACAGATTCTTCATTCAGTGTTCCAGTTTGAGAAGTTAGGAAAATATCTGATAGATTATTTGGTTGATAGATTATTTGGTTGTTTTACTGAAGTGTGGATTATATAGTGGCCTACATTAAATCAAATTGAAGTACCAGACCTGCCTTGGTGTAATGTAGAAGAAGTATCCAAAGGCTTAGGGAAGTTGGCATATTGGAATGGATTTATCAGATTAGACCCATAGGCCCAGAAATGGAGAGCTCAGAGGACGTACCTTTTACTGCTACAGTGAGGCAAAAATTTGTAAAGGGAGCCCCAGCATCCTTGAAGACTGCTGTGATTGCTATTTTATGTAAGCTAGATTTGACGGTGGGAACTACCCTAATTAAGACACTAACTACAAAGGGGCTAATTGGACCCTGTGGTGGTAGGGTCCAAGTGACAGCAATGAATCAACAAATACAAGGTGGGTGTGGTTACCATAATGGACAGCACTACCATTGGGGAAAATGAGCTAATCAGACTTTTTGAAGATTATTAGGCTCTGAATTGACACATAATTCTAAGACACCTAAAACATCACTGTGGCCCACCAGAGTGAGGGCATATGGAGGTCAAGTTATTGATAGAGTCTTAGCTCAGGCCCATCTCACAGTGGGTCCATGGATGCCCAAACTCATCCTGTTTGGAGTCTTAGGATTTTGGAGCAAAGCTCTGCCGTCCTCTGCAGATAACTACTCTCTTTTTGAGAAACAACTTTTGGCTTGTTACTGGACCTTAGTAGAGACTGCCTAACCATGGGCCACCAAGTCACCATGTGGCCTGAGCTACCCATCATGAGCTGGGTATTGTCTGACCCACCGAGTCATAAAGTTGGATGTGCACCTCCATCATTAAATGGAAGTGGTATATAAGAGATCAGGCTTGAGAAGGACCTGAAGGCACAAGTAAGTTGCATGAGGAAGTGGCTGAAATGCCTATGGTCTCCACTCCAGGCACATTACGTTCCCTCTCCCAGTCTACAACTATGGTCTCATGGCAAGTCCCTTATAATCAGTTGACTGAGGAAGAGAAGACTTGTGCCTGGTCTACAGGTGTTTCTATGTGATGTGTAAGCATCACTCGTAAGTGAAAGTGGCAACACTGCAACCCCTTTCTGGGACCTTCCTGAAGGACAGTGGTGAAGGGAAATGTCCCAATGGGCGGAACTTTGAGCAGTGCATCTGGTTGTTCACTTTGTATGGAAGGAGAAATGGCCAGAGTATGATTGTGTACTGATCCATGGGCTGTGGGCGATGGTTTGGCTGGATGGGCAGGGACTTGAACATGATTGGAGAGTTGGTGACAAAGAGGTATGGAGTAAAGGTATGTGGGTAGATCTCTCTAAATTGGCCAAAGAAGTGAAGATATTTGAATCTCATATGAATACTCATCAAAGGATGGCCTCAGCAGAGGAGGATTTTAACAATCAAGTGGATAGGATGACATGTTCGATGGAAACTAGTCATTCTCTTTCCCCAACCACTCCTGTCATTGGCCAGTGAGCTCATGAGCAAAGTGGCCATGGTGGCGGGGATGGAGGTTAGTATGGACTCAACAACATGGACTTCCACTCACCAAGGTTGAATTAGCTCCAGCCATTGTTGAGTGCCCAACCTGCCAGCAGCAGACAAATATTGAATCCACAATATGAAAGCATTCCTCAGGGCGATCAACCAGCATCCTGGTCGCAGGTTGACTACATTGGACCACGTCCATCATAGGATGGGCATCGTTTTGTTCTTACTGGAATAGACACTTTGGATATGGATTTGCTTTCCCTGCATGTAATGTTTCTGCTAAAACTACCCTCCATGTAGAGTGGGAGAAGAATGTGGAACAAAGCTCAAAAAAAAAAAAGGGACCAGGTTTGCTGGTCTGATAGAGTCTGGTGGAACCCCTGAGACTTTGGCCTCTAGCTACCCTTCAAGTCTGGAATTGAACCCACTCCTGTGACTTCCAGCCAAACAAAAGACAGGCATATGAGCTGAGCACTTACATTAGGTAGATACACTCCTTGGAGAGATCAATCATGGGAGAATAGAAGGTCTGTGTATGCACAAGGAGACAGCTCTGGGGGCAG